TCTGCCGATTGGCTAGATTCGTTTTCTATCCGCGACCAATCTCTCATTCGCGCCAAAAAGCTCATGCAGACTGCCATACGCCGCCTCGAGAAGGAGTTCCACCACATCCCTCCTACCAATCGTCAACATATCGACTCCGTTAGCCGCTCATCCTCATCCTCATCCTCATCCTCATCCTCATCCTCGTCCTCTGACGAAGACGATATCCATCCCTCCACATCTGACGCCATCGCTGAACTTCGCTCCATCGCGGAATCAATGATGGCTAATGGTTATGGCATGGAGTGCATCCGTATCTACAAGCTCTTACGCAAATCGATCCTTGAGGAAGCCCTATTCCTCCTCGGATTCCACGTCCACATTCCTTTTTCCAACTTCCACAAGATTGATTGGTCGGTCCTTGATCTCAGGATCAGTATCTGGCTTGTTGCCGCTCGGATCACGTTCCCCTCCCACTTCGCCGTGGAGCGCCTTCTTTGTAACCATGTCTTTGATCCGTCAGACTCTGACGACATCGATCTAACCGAGTATTGCTTTGCCGATGTCACAAATGCCGGCGCCCTCCAGTTTCTCTCCTTCGCCGAATCCATCGCTAAAACAAAACCCTCCCCTGAAAAGCTCTTCAGCATCCTTGAACTTCCCTGAAAAGCTCTTCAGCAGGTTTGGTGAACAGGTCATTATCTTAAATTTTTTATTATTATGTAAGGGAAGTTTACAGAAATGGATTTCTAAATCTAATATTCAATTTTTTTTATACTCTCATGTAATATTACAGTACGATTTTTTCGAAAAATCATAATATATCGTCAATATTAAGATTTTTTCGATATAATTTAAACATAAATTATAAAAATTTTGTAACGCTAAAAGTAAAAATAATATTAAAAATAATGAGACAACTAACTACTCCTTTAAGCTATTCATTCCCACAATCAATGCCGGACCTTTGAATTAGATAAAATGTGACGTATACGCTGACTTTAATTTTTGGACGGCATTAAAAATAAACGCATGCAGAGTTAAGAAAAATTAGCACAACTTCATTAGAAACAGAGCTAAAAATTATCCGATTAAGATGAGCAGCGTTATCGGCATACATTTAATTTATTTTTTATATTTAATTATACAGGAAAATATTATTTATAATTATAAAATAAAAGAAATTACAAACATTAATTATAGCATAGAAGAAGTTACGGGCATGCCCAGCTAGATTTTTCTGTTTCTTTCAATTCATCAAGCCTTGTTATTTTTACGTGTTCTATCTCCCAGCCTTTTTTGCATCTATATATACGTATATATGCCGCGCGTCTCTTGTCTGCTCCTATCTCTCGGAGCAAATGGCGAAGTGTATTTTATCAAGACTATTCTCTTGCGCCAGTCCCAGCGACATCAACGGCGGTAATAGAGAGGTCAGCACTTCGCCGCGGCACAACTTTTCTTGCAGTCTGATGGAGGAGAACGTAGCTTTTGCCGAGTCTATCATTGCCAAATGGGATTCCGACTCCTCCAACTATTCGAAGCTCACCTCTCTCTTCGCCGCCCACAACGGCGAAGCCTCCCGCTTCCTCCGCGCCCTCACAGACCTCCGACGCGCCCTGCTTTTCTTTTCCTCTTCTGATTGCCCAGATTCGTTCTCTATCCGAGACCAATCTCTCATTCGCGCCCAAAAGCTCATGCAGACCGCCATGCGCCGCCTCGAGAAGGAGTTCCACCACATCCTTTCTACCAATCGTCAACATATCGATTCCGTTAGCCGCTCCTCCTCATCCTCATCCTCGTCCTCTGACGAAGACGATGTCCATCTCTCCACATCTGACACCATCGCTGACCTTCGCTCCATCGCTGAATCAATGATGGCTAACGGTTATGGCATGGAGTGCATCCGGATCTACAAGCTCTTACGCAAATCGATCCTCGAGGAAGCCCTATTCCTCCTCGGATTCGACGTCCACATTCCTTTTTCCAACATCCACAAGATCGATTGGCCGGTCCTTGATCTCAAGATCAAATCTTGGCTTGCTGCCGCTCGGATCTCGTTCACCTCCCACTTCGCCGCGGAGCGCCTTCTTTGTAACCATGTCTTTGATCACTCGACCTCCGACGACATCGATCTAACCGAGTCTTGCTTCGCCGATGTCACAAGTGCCGCCGCCCTCCAGTTTCTCTCCTTCCCTGAATCCATCGCTAAAACAAAACCCTCCCGTGAAAAGCTTTTCAGCATTCTTGAACTTCACCAGACGCTTTATGATCTTTATCCTAATATCGAATCTACTTTTTCTTACGAATCCACGGCAGCCGTAAAAGAAAAGGCGCTCGAAGCACTCCAAACCCTAGCAGATGCCGCCCGTGATTCGCTCGCGGAGTTCGAGCTCGCAGTTCAGAAAGAATCATCGAAGATTCCTGTTCCCGGTGGCGGCGTTCACCCTCTCATCCGGAACTCGATGAACTACCTTGTCTCCCTTGTTGATCACGTGCCGACTCTCATCAATGTTTATGCTGGTATTCCCTTCCGCCCGCCTGAACCTCTGCCAGAGATGTCCGCACCTTGCCCATCGACAATTGTTCCGTCGTCAGTATCGGAGAGGGTCGCATGGCTGCTGCTCGTCATTCTTTGCAAGCTGGATCACAAGGCCGAGTTCTACAAGGAGGTGTCCTTCTCCTACCTCTTCTTGGCGAACAATGTCCAGTATGTTGTAAACGAAGTGAAGGGAAGCGGGCTGAGCATGGTTTTAGGAGCGAGGTGGGTGGACAGGCATGAGAAGACGGCGAGGCGATATTTAGAAAGATATGTGAGGTATGGTTGGGCAAAGGCGGCGGCTGCGTTTGAAGAGGCTGCGGTAGGGCAAGAGCCGGCAGTGGTGGAGGATGAGAGGATGAGGGAGGAGGTGAAGGTTGAGGTGGAGGGAATGATTTTGCCGGCGTACGGGGGGTTATATGAAAGTCTGACGGCCGCGCACGGCGGAGGGGTGATGGAAGGTGCGGCGGTTCGCTTCTCGCCAGAGGATTTACGAGATCGGATCGAGCAGGTGTTTGTCGAACCGAACGGTGAATATTTGGCAGGTTCGTTGAACAGGTCATGCTCTTAAATTTTATATTATTGGGTAAGGGAAGTTTACAGAAATGGATTTCTATATCTAATATTCAATTTTTTATATACTCTCATGTAATATTACAGTACGATTTTTTCGAAAAATCATAATATATCGTCAATATTAAGATTTTTTCGATATAATTTAAACATAAATTATAAAAATTTTGTAACGCTAAAAGTAAAAATAATATTAAAAATAATGACAACGCTGAAAGTTAAAAATAATATTAAAAATAATGAGATTAAGCTATTCATTCCCGCAATCAACGCGGGTTATGTGGTGAAACTAAAACCTTTGAATTAGATAAAATGTGACGTATACGCTGACTTTAATTTTTGGACGGCATTAAAAATAAACGCATGCAGGTAAGTTAAAATAGGATGCAGGAGTTATAAAAATTTATTTGGAAACTTCGATGAAGTGCGAAAGTGGTTGAATGATTCTTTTTTTAATTATAGTCTTCCTTCTGTTTTTTTTTTTAGTTTTGCGCATACGGGAATAATAAAAAAAAACAATGGGAGCATACGTAATGAAAACGACTTATATTTGTAAAATACGATTATAATATTCATGACGCCTAAATATTCACGGATTGATGCCCACTTTTGAACTTGTTATGAAAACCTTTTTCTAATTTATTTCATTTCATTTGCGTGTGGGAAACAAATTTACATTGAGGCTATATAGATAAATGCGAAATTTCAGCATTTTATGTATAAAATCCAAGAAGAGGAACAATTAAAGAGTTTAGCCTTGATATGTCATCGGAAATTCATTTAATTAATTAAAAAGTTTAATATAATATTTAAATTAGAATTTTTAGGAACTAAAGAATTAAATTCATGGCCTTCAAAATCTCAATCTAAATAAATTTAATAAATTAATTAAAAAGTTTAATATAATATTTAAATTAGAATTTTTAGGAATTAAAGAATTAAATTCAGGGCCTTCAAAATCTCAAATCAAGCACTATTAAAATCATTAAAAAATTTATAATATTAATTGGAGGAAAAGATCATTTTTGAACCATGTATCCTTATAGCAAAACCAAACGTTTCAATGAGGAAAATTTAATCCGTCTAAGTTCAATAAATTTTGATATCATTAATGTTTCAAAAATGTAAAAGAAGGGTTTATAAGCAAAGCAATCAAAATGAGCTATTTGAAGAAATATTGTAGAATTTAGTTGAAATACTTAAAGCACTACCCAAGAAATTATAAATTTATATTCATTTTTCACATGAAGAGGAGTTTGAGAGGACTAGGGAAAGTACGTAGAGATTTAAATGGTTTCGTAGCAAGATTTAAGGGTTGACAATAATGATCACAACCAACAATCTTCACATTCAAACCAATCTCGAAAGTACCTAGAGTTTTAAACGATTTCGTAGCAAGATTTAAGGGTTGACATTAATGATCACAACCAACAATCTTCACATTCAAACCAACCTCACGTAATTGTTATTGTACAAATGTCATCACTCATTATTTCTCTAATAATCTCTATAATCATATATGAGAGGCTAGATTAGTTTACCAATTTTTTAATCCTATCTTTTTCAACCCGAAAGGAGAGTCAAATTTTTATAATCATACATACATAGCTGGTCATCTTAACTGGGCATGTCTCTTAATTTTTTTTCTCATCTCAAAATATTTTAATTAAAATTTTGAATTACTATGAGAAGTCGTCACATCATTTATCTCATGTTGAATATTCATATACATGGGTTAAATTTTTTCTCTATCGTTGTGAATAATAAGTCATGGAATAATTAAAAATCATTTTTAGGAATAATTTCTTTATCTAATGCTTTATAATTTTTTCTCTAATAATCGAGAAATAAAGTTTCAATTGAGGAAAAATAATAAAGCTAATGTTGGCCACAAAGGCTTTACTATTGCAAGATTTTTTTTCTAGAATAAAGGAGCAATAAAGCCCAAACCTTTTGTTATTATAAGAAACTTTTTAATAAATAATACTATTAGATCATGATTGAGCTTTGCTACCACAAAAAAAAGTTAGAGCTAATTAACTAATTAATTTGATGGCATGTCTCTCTTGCATCATGTTGTTTAAGTTTTTGCTCAACCGTGACCTCACTGGGGTGACATTAGTATCAGTAGTTACAACTTATCTTTCGATGCACAATTAGCCCTTTAGCCTATTGTAACGTAAATTAATTTTTAATTGCATTACCTTATACATTTTATGATATCATAAAATATGAACTTCAATTCTTTGCTAACGAGTGTTGGCATCAATTTTTGATGTCATAAGTTCACGGTATCCACCTACATGACTTAGGGTGATCCACGGTCAGTCTGTAGCCTCCGGTAGCTCAAGACACCCACCGAGTACTTTCTAACACTTTTTTGGGGCGAGTGGCAAGATTTGGGAGGCCCATCCAAGATGCGAGACTTTCTTGGAGCCTAATTTGATAATTAGAAGTCACCACATGTCTATTCAGAGCCTCTCATGGTCATGGGAAGTCACGATATCAACCTGAGCGCATCAAGGACATGCTTCATGCATATGATGTTTCACGTAGCTTGAGACACCCATTTGAGACCCTCTGGCGTAGTTTGAGGGGTATGCAGCTAGGGTCATCTTGCTAGGCTTTGGCTTTCTCTTAGGCGAAGGTCGATCGACATTTTGCATGTCGGATGACTTCAATTGAATCGATGGGAATTATTCATCGTACCGTGTGCGAAATTGACTTGAATTTGGCCCTATCGTCGAAGGAGTTGCGTAGATGAACCTGAATGAAGAACCATACCACACAAGCGTGGCCGAAACGTCAATTTTACTCGAGAAGGACACCATATTGTTAGGGTTTTGTGCACGTGCAAAAAATGCGCAAATCGATGAGTTTTAAATAAAAAATAATATTAGTAATAAAGTAAAATAAAAACCAAAAATCTCTCTTAAACTCACGCATGCCAGCTCTCCCTCAATTCTTCTTTTTGCGACTCTCGTGCCCTAGCCCTCATGATAAATCCCAATTCCTGCTTCGATTCCTCACGGCGGCATCCTCACCGGTGGCTTGACTCGACCCTTAATTAATTAAGTTCCAAAAGATGGCAAAAAACTTGACCTAATTTATATTTAGTGGCTCGCGTGCAAAATAAGTATCTTATTGAGTTTAACATTTTGATTAATGGTTTACACACTAGGGGGTATTGTGCAAGTATACGTGTCATTTTAAGTAATGTAGAGTTTTCTTTAAAATCCCCAACATCAATCCCACAAGGAAGAATAAAATTTCTATTTTAATTTAAAAGAATTTCTATTTAAACTGCAAACAAAATATGTAGGAAAAGTATATCAAAGTGTTTGTAAAGGGTTAAAAAACTAAAGTTTGCTAACTCTAATTTAAAGCTAAAAGTAAATGCAAATTTTCTAAACTATAAATGTGTAAAGGAGTTTGAATATTATAGAAAGTCTTTCCACTTGTGAAGAGACTGTAATCAGTGAAGGAAGCAATAGCTTAAGGTTAAAAATGAGGTTTTGTGACAAATAGGAGCATATCTTTTCTTTACCCTCTATCGAGTACATAAAGAACATTGGTTAATCTAAAGTTAAGTTCCTAATTGATATGGTTATGCTGAGTATATTCTAGCCTCTCACATCTAGATTACCCAATGTGCCCTTTCTATTAGAACTAACCAGGCTTTAGGTTCCAAGCTAAACAGCAAATTGATGAAGGTTCTAGCTCGTCACTCTAAAATCATCAGTTCTACGCTCATCAAAAATTCTATTAGAACTAACCAGGCTTTAGGTTCCAAGTTAAACAGCAAATTGATGAAGGTTCTAGCTTGTCACTCTAAAATCATCAGTTCTACGCTCATCAAAACTTATCTTCCTATATATTTGCACTCCCCCTTAGACTTGGCTCTCCTCCATCAATGGTTTAGTGTGGTACTCACTAGTTGAGTGAAATCATAGCCTTCCTAAGTCAGTGTATTCATAATGAATTTTAACATTAAGAATGGCCAGTTTGCAAAGTAAATTAAGAACCGGTGAAATACCATAAAAATTTTTGGAATAAAAAAAATCTTCAAAATATTCTAATCCCACACATGATTATTTCTTATTACAAGGAGAAAGATAGGAAAACTATTCAGAATTCATGAGAATAACAAGAAAAGCATGATTTATATTAAAAACCAAGTTTGCACAAAACATAAACAAAAATATAAAGTGCTTACCTTAGACTTCTCCCCAAGAAAATCTTTTTGATGTTTCTTTTATGTTTTCTTCCTCTAATACACTCCAAAACAAGACTCTAACTCACATATCCACAAAACTTATGCAAAGACTACACTCAAAACCAATGACTCCTACCAACACTTCCACCAACAACTTTACGCCCCCACAAATGACTCCATGCCTTGGCATGCTAATGACTATATTAATACTTTAAATATTTTAGTACTTCAATTAATATTTTAGTACTTCAATTAATATTTTAGTGATTTTTCCTTTCATTTCAAAAATAATTATAATTTGACACACTTAGGATTCTTAGAAAAATTAGAAGCTAGAATTATATGAGAATGTTGGCATCAGTTTTTGATGTCACGAGTGTAGGGTGTCCACCTGCATGACTCGGCATGGCTTACAGCATGTCTGTAACATCCAGTAGTTCAGACACCCACCAAGACCTTTTGGCGCGTGTTGAGGGGATGTGGCCAGAATTATTTTGCTAGGCTTTAGCTTTTTCTTAGGAGAAGGTCGATCTGCATTTCACATCTCGAATGGCTTTGGTCAGGCCAATAGGTATTACTTGTCGTGTCACGCATAAAATTTCCTTAAATTGGACCATCAACCGATCAATTTGTCTAGATGACTCGGATGACAAAAAGGACATTGAAAGCTCGTCCGAAACGTTGATTTTTCTTAAAAATGAAACCATATTGCTAAGGTTCTGTGCACGCACAAAAAATGCATGAATAAAGATATTTTTAATAAATAATAATGTTATTATTAAGATAATAAGAAAAAAATCTATTTTTAAACTCCCCTCAAGAAAAA